TTAGAGAAGAACCCGTCCAGAAGACCTACACAATTTTTTTCTTTTTGATTTTTTACCTGGATTACTGAGATGCATCAGGATGACTGGTTAAATATATACACCTTACCAAAACCAGGGATTTGTGTGCAAGGACGCTGAACAAACACTTGGCCCCTCTATGAATGTTGTGACCACTTGATGGCCCCTTACTCAGAAAAATCCTAGATCCGCCCCTGTACAGAGATGTTAGAAAGTCTCGAACTTTCTAACTGACAGGATTAAATGTAAAAAGACATGTTTGACGGAGGGCCGGAGTGGGAATAAAAGCAACCCACTGGCACTTTTCCACACAGCTGTGCGTGGCTGTATTTAACTCAGCAGAATTAAAAATCAGAGCGGTATCAACACACACCCTCCCAGTCGCTCTCCGCCGTGTTTTGAATCTATTTGCACAACTCTTTTTAATTGCTGCAAGACATTTAAAAGCACCCCTGAGAGCAGTTTACACCAGTTTTCCTTTAATTGTTTATAGGCTAACTCATATTTTTTTTTCAAACTGGCAAGCCCTTTCAGCCAGAGCAGGCAGAGCACTCTCCTATTCTTTTTCATCCATGTTCTCCCTCACAGACTTCTACATCCCAGTGAAATGTTACCCCACCCTGCTGTGTCCTCCTCCCGCTTACTGAAATGCAATCACCAAAGGCGGGTGGTGCAGATGTTATTCATATAAGAAATAATTTATCCACAGGGCGTGGGCTCTTTTTGTTTGTGCAGGAAAAACACAAATTGAGGAGAGGAGGCTTTGTCCTGTTCCTGACACACATGAACAGAAAAAGCTCGGTTTCCATCACATCCTATTTGACCCCGACTGAATAACGTCGGCTTTTCTCCTTTCCTTTGTTGTGCAGCTTGTTCACATCTGGTGAGAATTCCTGTCAGCATTCAGTAACAATATCAATGTGTTTCAAATGAGCAAAACAATGTTTCTCAGCACTAACAGTCAAAAACATCTGAACCTCTGAATATTGTACAAGTCTAAATTATTTAGTGGCTGTTTACACCTGCACTTCTGTCAGGCTTCATAAAATCCAGTGAGACAGAAATCTTCTCCAGCTCCATTGATCACAACCCCCCCCCCCCCCCCCCCCCCCCCCAACAACTTCTTCTTCTTTGCTTCTGGTCTCATGTGAGGCAATTATTGAGGTTTGCTCCAGTTACTGCAGCAC